CTGTCCGTCCGTCCGTCCGTCCGTCCGTCCGTCCGTCCGTCTATCTATATCGAGCCATCTATTGGCATTGCCACTACTCTGAGCAGTTTCCAATAGTGAAATAAACATAAAGAGCACAATTCCACCTGTTTTTCTTCTAATGGCCTTGATCCAACTAGCAGATCAGAATAAACTGAAGGTGGGCACAAGGCAGGATGTACAACACACAAAACTCAGTCCTCCATCCTCTCCTGTTCAGCATCAGCCATTTGGGGCGGATGTCTCACTCTCCCTAATGGTAGGGCCGGGACTAGAGAAGACTATTTGGTGGCAATGTGGTGGTGGAGTTGTGGTTTCCCCATTGGCTAATCAGCTTACCTCTTTTCAGTGATGTTACGGTCTTCTGTTTACATTCTACATGGTTTACGCTTATCCTTGGGCCTATCCCACATGATGAGAGGACGCCAGTGGCCTGAAGGCCTTTATCGTAGTCACTCTGATGCTCCCAACACAGAACACTGATGCAGTGTTTCAGCAAATTGATAGCGTAGATTTCTTCAAAAGCCAACTGGAGCTGAGTGTCTGTTCTGCCCCAGCAATAATGTTCCTATACAATGCAACGGCCCCCGGAACAGCCGAAATGCCCGGCCGCAGCGTTTTCGCACCCTTGGTGAGCGAGGGGAGGGCGCGAAAACACTGCGCGCAGCCATTTCAGCTGTTCCGGCAGCGTTTTCGCGCCCTCCCCTTGCTTACCAAGGGTGCAAAAACGCTGCAGCCTGCCATTTTGGATGTTCCGGCGGCCATTTTGAAGCCGCGGAACAGTTGATCGGCGGGTTGCAAAGCGAAGGGTGGTAAGCGAACCGCTTACCGACATTCGCTCTGCGATTTTCGCCCATTGGGGGCATCGCTCTGCGATCGCATTAGCGATCGCAAAAGCGTCACCGTAGAGCGAATTCATCGCTCTATGGGGCGCTCGTTGTGCAAGGCACCACTGTACTTGAAAGATTGTCATACAGAGGAGGGGAAAGATCTGTTCTCAGTCATCCCAGAGTGCAGGAGATGTGATAAAGCGTTCAAGTTACAAGAAGCCAGAATATCAGGAAAAGCTTCTTAACTGTTAGAGCAGTATGACAATGGAATCAATGCTGGGGGCATTCAAGAGAAAATTGGACAATCATGTAATTAGATTCGGATTCCTGCACTGAACAGGAAAGTTGGACTCAATGGCCTTATAGGTTCCCTTCAAACTCCTTTTTTTCTATGATTCTGTGATCTATGAAAGGGAAAATTCAGGTGGTGTGAGGTCTATTGAACTGTAGATCACAGAATCCAAATACCTTTGTTTTGAGCTTGACATTTATTTTTTTTACTGGAGCCAAAACACTTAAAACAAAGCACAGAAATCAAAACAGCACTGGGAGAAAATAAAGAATGGAATATGCAGAGTCGATTCAATCGTTAAAGGTGATTTCTACCAGATGATCAGCAGGACCGGTAGGACCCCAGAGAAGGTTGGTAGGAGGCTCCTAGAAGATCGAAACCCCTTTGAGGTGTCTGTTTGTAAACAACGGGACTTCACAACCACAGTATCAATGCCTTCCAAATAGGGAGTGGTACCGTGATCTATTGCGTCGCAGCCAGCTTTGGTTGTGCAGCCCATCATAAAAGAGGTCGTGATTTCATCCGCTAGACACAGAAAACAAAAAAAGAGAGAGTGATGAATGAATTCATCTTTGGCAGCACCTGCTCTCCTAAACAGCCCATTTAGGCTAGTTGAGTTGCTCTACTAATACAGAATGAGACCTCCTAGGTCTCCTATCAAGATCAGGGGGAGCAAACTGGTGCCTTCCAGAGTTTTTTTTTGCACAACTATTTGGCAAATCACCGACTGCTCAGGTTTAAGGTTAAGGGAACCCCAAACCTTTAGAAATATGCCTATCCCTTATTAAAGTAACAAAGTCTTGCAGGAGTTCACTGGAACCTTGTACAAAGTTGGGCATGGTCAGCAAGATCTTCAGAATGCAAGGTTCTGAAGGCTCACACCAAGACAGACCAAAGATATTTATAAAAGCTCCACCCAAGACAAGGAAAGGCAAGCAAGGGAGAGCATCCTTGAACCACAACAGATATGGAAATGTTCTAGAAAGATTGCCACCTTGGTTTTGAAGCAAGAGCTGCTATGGTCCTTCCCAAATTTCAGTGATAGCTCATGAGCGGCTTCTGATGGTGGTGGGAGAGGCACTATTGTGGGACAAATGCCTACACACGAGGAGTCCTTGCCTGGAACCCAGATATCTCTAAGCATGAAGGTTCTAGTTTAACTCCTCCTAGCCTAGGGAGCTTGGCGATCCTTCTTCCTCTGCCTCTGAAGTAGAGCCCCTTTCATTGGTGAGGAGGGGTGGACTCTCAGTAGACCCTCTTTCCAAAGGCCAAGAAGACCTAGATGATTCCTTGGCGCTACGAGGGACTGGCTGAAGAAGAACCCAACAACATAATATGGTCAGCCCGACAGGTCATTCAATGATCCAGATTCAACAATGGTATGGCCACCATCTTGGTGCACAGAAACTCCACTACCTCCTATGTACAGTTGTGCCCCGCTTTACGATTACTCCATATAACGATGAATCCGCTTCACGATGATGTTTTCGCGATTGCAATTGCAATCGCAAAACGACGGTTTGAATGGGGCTTTTCTGCTTTGCGATCATCAGTTCCCTGCTTTGGGAACAGATTCTGGGAACCGATTCTTGCTTTATGACGATCAAAAACAGCTGATTGTCAAGTTTCAAAATGGCCGCAAGCTGAAGGAAACGCCCCCCCCCCGCTGTGCTTAGGGACGGATTCCTTGCTGTACAGGCACCGGAAACAGTTGCCCCTATGGAGGATTTTCGCTGGACAGTGAGTTTTCAGCCCATTGGAATGCATTGAATGGGTTTCAATGCATTTCAATGGGCTTTCTAATTTTGCTTTACGACGTTTTCGCTCTACAGCGATTTCGCTGGAACTAATTAACGTCGTAAAGCGAGGCACCACTGTACTAGAAAAGGCAGAGTTGTCCATTTTTCTCTATCCTCAGGCTAGGTAGGAGCCACCTTCCCTCTGGAATCAATCTGGCAACCAAATGGTGTGAGGGTTCAAAGGCATGCTGCCTCTGAAGGAAGACTTACGAGTATATGTACGTGCAAACAGGTCAAAGCAGTACTTCTCTGATCCTGTACAGTTCAATAGGTCTGGATTGCATGCGCCTGTCCGAGAATAACAGGCTGGACATTGCTTCCCATTGGTTTTCTTCTCCAAGGGAAGTACTGCAAAAAAAGAAGGGAGAGGAAGAGGTGATTGGACACCCAAATACATGAACCGAAGAGGTGTTTTCCCTACATCTTATGGTAGCAAACAGGGCCGGTCCTACCATTGGCCAGAGTGAAGGAACGGTCTCTGGTGCCAGATGCTGGGGCAGCCATGGCAGGAAAAGAAGGTATGAAGGAAAGAGAGGGGTGCACTGAGAAATTAGAGGCACCTACGTTGAGGAGCAGCTGTTTTGCAGGCCCTCCCAGTACAACACAGCACTGCTGTCCTTAACAATTTCCCGCGCCCCATATTCATGTATTCTGTGGAGGATGTGCAGGCAGTTGAGATTGCACAGCTTTTTGTGAGCCTCTGAACCATCATGTCACCTGGAAGAAAAGAGAACGTGGTTTGTTCAGGGATTAAGCCAAAGAACCAATATTAGGACCCACGAACAGAGATGGGAAACGTACAGTGGGTTTGGGACTGTAGCCAGTGGCCATAGTCTTCCAGGATTTTAGAAGCTTTGGTCCATAATTTAAATTTAATTTAATTTTCTCTCATTAGGAAGAAAATGACAGACATGTGGTAACATCCAGGAACGATTTTTCAAAACGAAAGCCCACCTCCTCTCCTCCTGTGGCTCCAGCCACTTCCATACCGTGAAAGGGACTTTTTTCAAATCCAAAAAGCTTCAGGAGAGAGGGGAGAAATCTTTCACTCATGAAAATCTCCCCTGCTGATGATTCCATCACTCTTTCATTGGCATCTCTATGCCGACATGATGTCAGGCTTTTTGGGGGGCACAATTTTAGAGTGAGATTTCATAGAACTGCCGTGACGTTCAAGGTTTTAACATACGAAGCCCTGTATAAGGACTTGTTGCTGGAGTGCCTTTCCTTCAGAAATGTTGCCTGTTCCACACCATCTTCTCAGGCCTTGCTGTTAGGTGTGGCCATGCCAAGGGGGGCAAGGGAGACCTCAATTACAATATAGGCCTTCTCAATAGTGGCCCTCACACTGTGGAATGACCTCCCACTGGAGATCCAACAAGCTTCCTCTCTCCAGAGTTTAGAAAAGACATCTTAAAACAACAATTTTTCAGGAAGCCTTTAGAGACATTCTCCCCCTCAGTTACTGTACTCTTCAACCCTGTGTCCCCTGAGAGTTGTAGCAATCATCCATAATTTCATTTTATTTGGTTTGTTTATTTAGTTTGTTCTGTGGTTTGAGGAATTATTTTTATTCATTGTCACGGAATGGGGTGGGATGGGCTTTATATGATGTTATATCATCAACCAGAGTACGTGGTGCCTCGCTTTATGACAAATCCGCTTTACGGTGATCTTTTTGCGATCACAATTGCGATCGCAAAACGATGGTCTAAATGGGGGAATTTTGCTTTGCAATGATCTCTTCCCTGCTTCAGGAACCGATTCTTTGCAAAATAATGTTTTTTAAACATCTGATCGGTGGTTTCAAAATGGCCACCGGGTAAATAAAATTGCTCCCCGCTGTGTTTAGGGACGGATTCCTCGCTATATAGGCCTTTCAATGCATTTCAATGGGCTTTTTATTTTCGCTCTACGATGTTTTCGCTTAACGGCGATTTTCGTGGAACAGATTATCGCCGTTAAGCGAGGCACCACTGTAATGGTCTCACTAAGTCAGGTAGGATATCAATCAATCAATCAATCAATCAATCAATCAATCAATCAATACCACTGTACAGTTCCAAATTTGTCACACCACTGGTGAATATCAATCAATCAATCAATCAATCAATACCACTGTACAGTTCCAAATTTGTCACACCACTGGTGAATGAGAAAACCACAACTCCCCCCTCAAGGATGTGAGGAGCCTGAAGCTGGATTTCAGCACCGGATCAGTGCTCTTCTCATGATGCAAATCTGAGCAGCCTTGACAGAACGATTGGTTTACTCATCAAACAAGCTTAAGGCTTCCGTACCCACCTAGTGTACTTTCAAATAACACAATGAGACAGGTATCGTGACCAGGAGAACAGGTAATCATTCTGCCAGAGCAGTGATTGCCAGATGCGGAACAAAATTCACATTCCAGAGAAACACCTAGAGGAGGAAAGAACAAAGGCAAAGAACTTTGGGATAGATATTAAATATTCCCAAATAAATACAGTAGGACACCCCCCCATATCCATTGGGATCAGTATCCATGGTTTAATTTATCCAGTCTGAAAATATTAAAAGAAAAAAAATCCAGTAAAAACCTTTTTTCCCATGTATTACCAGAACTGGCCACTAGAGGAGCCAGAGACCATGCTATGAACACAGTACAGTGGTGCCCCGGATAGCGGCGATAATCCATTCCGGATTAATCGTTGCTATCCAGAAACATCCCTATGCGGATAAGAAAACCCCATTGGAACACATTAAAGTTCATTTAATGCGTTCCTATGGGGTGAAAACTCACCGTTATGCAATGATCCTCCATAGCGCCGCCATTTTCACGCCCTTGGTAAGCGAGGAAATCGCGCGAAAATAGTTGCAGCGGCCATTTTGGGCACCTGGTGGCCATTTTGGAACTGCCGATCAGCTGTTTTAGAAACATCGCAATGCGAAGATCGGTAAGCGAAACACTTACCGATCATTGCAATGCGATGTTTTGCCCATTAAAACATCGCAATGTGATCACATTAGCAATCTAAAAAAATAGATCGGTATGCGGATTCATCATTAAACGGTGCGTTTATTATGCGAGGCACCACTGTATTTGTTAGTGAAGAATACATAGCATGGTCTCTGCCCCCCTCTAGTTCTGGTAATGCTTGTGAAAATACTTTTTTCTTTTATAATTATATATATGTATGTATATATGCTTGTGTGTGTGTGGATAGATAGATAGATAGATAGATAGATAGATAGATAGATAGATAGATAGATAGATAGATAGATAGATAGATAGTTAGACAGATAGATAGATAGATAGATAGATAGATAGATAGAATTTTTCAAGACAGAGGATGAGGAGTGAATGAAAAACTGGAAGCCACTTGTGAGGGAAGGCACTACAGCCACTTACAGCTGCATAATATTTTAGGAGTAACCATGTTCTATGTACAGTATAATAATCACGTAACCATCTTGGCTTTGACTCAGTTTCTTCTCCTCCCCTCAGCTGAGCAAACGGCTACCAACCTGCAATCTCCTCCTTACCTGTTCTTAGAAGCCCCCCCAAAAGGAAGAGTCCTGTGGGAACCTGCATGATGATGGGAATTCTCCGGGAGGAGGAGCTCCATGGAGGACGGACCCTCATTCTGCAAAGACGTAGATTCTGTAGCTTGAAAAACTTCACAAAGCATGAATGTCGAGTGGAAACTTTAACAGGAGTATGGGGAGTCAACGCTTTGGAACACAGGAACAGCTTTGAGTTTTCCAAGATGTGCCACCCTCAGCAACAAGGACGAGAACATTCTCCATCCCACTTGGCAAGACTTTAGACGGAATGGTTTACTACATGGCTGTAAGCAAGAGCTAAGCACCCCTTCCTCTTTTTGTCTCTTTTATCAATGCCCATGCTGGACCCGGTCGCCACTGCAACCATGATTCCTGAGCTTTTCTGGTGGAACTCAGCAGAACCGAATTCTGTCCCCTTTACTTCTACTTATGACTTGTCAAAACCGGGTTCCAGCACCTTATCCTGGTTTTTAAGTAAGATACTGTATGTTTATTATTATACCAGCTGCTCCACAATGTTTTAAGGTCTGGATTTAATCCGATTTCAAACCTCCACTGCCTTGTGGCTATATCCACCAATGGAAAAGGCTTCAGGAGTTAACCTCGAGGCAAAATCCGGAGCTGGAGTCCCGAAGGCAGCTCGTGTCGTTCTGCCAACTCCTGCGACATTGCTGGAACCAGTCGTATTGGCTCTTGCCTTTCCATTGGACCATTTCAGCAATGTGGAGAGGAGGGATCTGCTGCTTGGGTAACAGCCTATCCTCCATATTACCTTACCCGGGCTTCATGCTCTGGAGAGGACACTCCTCGATTCAGAGCATGTTACCATAGTCTCTCGAGACTGAAGGATGCCTATGACTGAAGTAAGATATTGTATGTTTATTATTATACCAGCTGCTCTACAATGTTTTAAGGTCTGGATTTAGCTAATCCTCACAGAGCAAGGCCTTGGTGTGCTAAAGATGAACTTGAGCATCAAATCCCAAGCACAGTGGTGCCTCGCTAGACGATGATAATCTGTTCCACTGAAATCGCTGTTTAGCGAAATCATTGTCTAGCGAAAAGCTTTTCCCCATTGGAATGCATTGAAACCTGTTTATTGCGTTCCAATGGGGAAGAATCATCGTTGTCTAGCGAAGATCGGCCATAGGAAAGCCGCTTTGCAAACCGCCGATCAGCTGTTTAAATCGCTGTCTTGCGAAGCTTAGGTTCCGAAAACACCTGCTTGTGAGTACGGAGGAACTGTCAAAATCGTTGTCTAGCGAAAATCGGTTTGCGAAGCAGGGACCAAACACTGTCCAGCGAAATTCCCCCATAGGTATCACTGTTTTGCGAATTGCTATAGCGATTGCAAAAAGCCAATGTCTAGCGAAAAAACTGTCATGTGGGTCAACTGCCTAGCGAGGCACCACTGCAGTTGGAATCCCATTATAATGCCTTTCGCAAGAGGCTCTGGAAAGTAACCCTCGGTGGCACTATCCCATTGGTCTCCAAAGTCATCATGACCTCTCTATGTCTGTCACGCAGACACCACATTGCTGTTCTTCAGCCATGCCAGCATTCTATGGCCCCCATAAGAGCATCTCTGTTATCTCACATGGGCATATATTCCTAGGTTTTAGGCTTTGGGCCTCATAATCTGAGGGAAATGGGATCCGGCTAATAACATTTGGTTTTAGTATCGTCAGAGCTATGCATGACCCCCCCCCATTTATTCGGCAGAGTGAGGCAGCCCCCAGAGGCAACAGATGTGGCATGGAGATTATTTTTAGGACTATTATTATACTGATTTTTCAGCCTACCTTCACTAACGGTCGCTTGGATTTCTAACATTCCATTTCTCTTAAAGAGAAAGAGGGAGATTGGTCTTTCTGAACAGAGTCTAAAGGAAGGCCATAGAAACATGTTAAAAGGAAGCTGAGGTTTCACCCAGCCCAAGAAAATTCTGCAGGTGTTTTGTCTTGGTGACGACGACGATGATGATGAATAAAGCCCCTTCTTTGTACATATTTCCAGACAAGATTTCTCTTGCACTGTTGAATTGCCTTATTCACATGATCTCATTTTTTAGGAGTGGGGTTGTGGTCTAGTGTTTGGAAATAAAGTACAGTGGTGCCCCGCTTGATGATTACCTTGTTAGACAAGGAAATTGCTAAACAATGAAGTTTTTGTGATCGCAAAATGATGTTTTAAATGGGAAAAATCGCTTCACGATAATCAGTTCCCTGCTTCGGGAACCGATTTTTCACTTTACGACGATCAGAAAACAGCTGATCGTTGTTTCAAAATGGCCGCCCACTGTTTAAAATGGCTCCCCGCTGTACTTAGGACGGATTCCTCGCATTACAGGCACCAGAAAATGGCCGGCCTATGGAGGATCTTTGCTGGACGCTGAGGTATTTTGCCCATTGGAACGCATTGAGAGGTTTTCAGTGCGTTTCAATGGGCTTTTTCATTTCGCTTGACGAGGATTTCGCTTAACAGCGATTTGAATGGAACGGATTATCCTCGTCAAGCGAGGCACCACTGTATAATATATAAAGTATACACTACTTTAGTAGCATAAGTGGAATTTATATAATACAAATGTAATACATTAATTAATATAAGACCCTGTCTTATTTTCAGGAAAACATGGTAGTATTCTAAACTATGCATCTTGACCAAGGTTACACCGGCTGGCTTTTCTCCCAGGAGACACTGTGGGAAATTGAACTCTTGACCTCTGGCTCTCCTTGTACAAGCTCCAACTCACTGAAATATCCAACCAAACTGTTTAACTCCTTAAAACGTTATCATATACCATCTTCAGGCAAAATTCTATTTCTACTACGAAGCCACCCTGAGCAGTTTGGATCATTAAAAGAACAGAAGCTGTTAAAGACTAGATCTTATTTCTTTTTTCCAACTTTTATTAGTTTCCACGCTGTAAAACACAGAGGAAGATAAATCCCTTGAAAAGGCCACACTCAAAGCCAGAGAAAGTTGTAAGCAAAAAGTGGGGAGGATTTAATTGTATACATTTTAAGTCACTGAGCAGTAAAGCTTCATCAACAGAAGCGCCAGGAGAAACGGAGAGGGTGGAGAAGGCTTTCGGAGTCCAGAGTTCTTGGCTGGGGTACAGGTTAAATTTTTAATAGTGGACCCAGGGAAAAGCGTCCCATTGAACTTTGTTAATGTCAGACACGAAGATTCGCTCGTACAACCTTTTGTGGTTGTCTCTATAACATGCCCGACGAAATCTGGAAAGCAAAAGTTAATAGTGGAATCAGTAAGCAGTCCATAAACACATCCAGCAGTCTTTCTTGCTTTAAAAACACACCAATGTATCCAAAATATGAAAAGCATCATTCACCATAGTTAACATTAAGGAGATAATGAATTTTAGTTAAAAGGGCAGGACTGGAAAGGAGACATCAAATACTAAGAAACGTCATGCATATGACTTTGTGTCTCGGCCTTTGTTCTGCAGTCACTCTGATTTTCCGTTCTGTCATAATCTGGGTAGCAATTCTTTATTCTACCTGTAGAGACGTTCCATGTTCGGGAGAAACTTCACAACTCCATTTACTTCCCGACAAAACTAGTGGTGTCTTGGTAAAAGGCTGAAGTGAAAATATTCATTTGGGATGGGTTCGACAGCAGAAAGCACAAAGACCGGTAATACAAGCAGCTGGGTTGATTCACACCAACCAACCAGATTCTAGTTATTTTTTTAGTTTATCTCCTTGAGAAGCAACACAGAGATAAAATAAAAGGCTGCGTTTGTCCACTCAAGCCCTCAGATATCTCCAAATATTTTGATTTTCAAATGGGATGGCTCACGACAACGTATTGATGTTGGAGAAACACCTCATCTCCCCCACATAGCTTCGGTGAGGATTGGACCTAAGCTAAGCTGGGGAATCATCATACGGCCACGGCTGGAATGCTGGACGAAGACTCAGGTGACTGGGGTTCGAATCCACCTTTGCCCATGAAGCTCAATCAACGATCTTGGACCATTGTCTCAACCTAACCTGCCTCACAGGGCCCTTATAAAGATAACGTTGGATAGAGTAATACCATTCACGTTTCCTCAAAGCCCTGTTTCCACTACACTATGTTGGATGCCAGATAGGCTTATTGGGGCCAAAGGGTGACTTAAGTTTGCATGTACTCCTGATGAGATTCTGTGTCAAGGAAAACTGAGAGAGGTATAAATTATGCACAGTGGCGAATCCCTCGCCAGAACAAAGCACTATTCCAGACTGCCTAAAAAGATGATGGTTAGATCCTTATTCAACCCCCAACCATATCATGCCATGTCATCCTTGGATACAGTACTGGAGCATGTCATGGCTTCTCAGCTCCAAGACGTCTTGAATGTAGAACAATAGCATATTTTCATTTGTATCTGTTTTTAAATCATTTTTCAACACTGCCCTGGGGGTCTATGAATTGGGGAAAAAGTAAGAAATAAAATAAAAAATAAAAAAAATTAATTCTGCCCACACAATCAACATAATATTTGGTCTTGAGCTAAGATCTCTCTCTCTCTGGCACTGGTATGGAACATTCATTGGCATACTAGAGCATATGAACATAAAATTAGTTTGCATGTAAAGTGTCAATACCTTGAACCAGGATAAAACTTAAGCAGTAAATATCACTTCCACTGCAATACACAGGTTTTTCAGAGCAATCCTTTGTCGCTGAAAAGCACGTTGGGCAAATTTTTCCATTGTGCACTTTTGCTGATCTTGGTACTGCAGGAAAGGGAATCAAGCAAATCCAAAAGAGAATGGGAGACTTTGAGAAGAGCTAGAAGAGTGAAGGTCAACATAGATAAGGTGTCGACATCCAGGATCTGGGTCAGTGAATGCCATTTATCTTTGTAGCTTTCCCTAGTAGTATATACCTCCTAGCAGGTTACTACCAAGATAATTCCAGCCTTCAAAACAGATCTGATTGAAATTTGGATCTGATTGTTATACAGTTCCATTGATAATGCTGAAGGTCAGCACAGAGCAAGTACAATTTATAATGCAAGGCTCTGTTGCTATATCATGGATGTCAGTCAATCAAAGGCTTCAATGCAGACTGCATCTCACTTTCTCATGAGATGCAAGTAGAGGAGTAGGCATTGCCTTTATAAACCACTAACAAAGATCATACAGACTGCTAGCTTTTATCCATCAGGACCCACATCCTAAGGCCTATACCACTGTCGTGTTATTAAGGCAAAAATCATAAGAGTTCCAAAAGCTCATGGCAGATGGATTTGCCAAGGATGTTTCACTCCAATGCAGATACAGGCTGCATTGGAGTGGTTTGAAAGTGACAGTAGAGGAAGCGGTTAATTGGATATCATACCCCAGCTCGTCAAATAAAGAAGCCCAGTTATTAGGCATATACACTTCTCCCTTGATTTGCACGAGTTTGAATAGCATGGTTTTGGTTACGTGCAGATTTTTTTTCAATATCGACCAGCCAGCCACCCAGCCAGCCAGACAACCAACCAACCAGCCAGCCAGCCAGACAACCAACCAACCAGCCAGCCAGCCAGCCAGCCAGCCAGCCAGCCAGCCAACCAACCAACCCACTATTCAATAAATACTGTGCTGTTGTTCACCTTAAGTGGCCTGAGAAAGATGGGTCTAGGACTTACCAAGGCCACTATTGCTGGGAGTGAGGTGGACCCTGGTCCAATAGTGTTGGCCCAGCTAATCCCCTTTCCTGGCAGCTCAACATGGAGGGTGCTGGGGCATGCTGTACAGTTAATATAGTAAATCCATCTCTTCTGTATGTGTGTGATTGTGTATATGTGTGTGTTAATCAACTGTTTATGCTTTATAGTTATGTTGGGGTGGGCTAAGAGTTATACAGTCATGCCC